TCAGCGAGTCGTCCGATTGGTGGTCTTCCAACTTTACATCAATTACTCTACAAAATATTCGGCTTTTTGAATGTCATTAGCGGATTAAGTAAACTGTACCGAAGCGTGCTGCGACTGCTCTTTATGTGCATGAAAGTGAGCGGGAGAATATGAATAGTAGTATTTTCGATGCTGATATATGGAAATATTAGAACATCACGCCTTCTCAGCTATGGATAGTGAGGAAAGCGTATTATGTATTTTTCAAAAAAGACGCGCAATTTTGACGCGAGAGCATAAGTCCGCATTTCAGAAGCAAATACTTCTGGTGTGTTCCCGTAGTCCGTTCAGTGCATATAACGGCTTGCTCCCAAAAATGACCTCATCGGATACAAGAAGTTTAGATAGACGAGGACGATAGCAACTTCGGCTAAACATCTCTCAGGTTCGACACGCACTTGAGGCATACAAGTGATAAACGTGGCAAGGCCTCTTATGAATGGCATTATAGCTCGGACGCCCTGTGCATAAAGAGATCATTGGATGTTTTTTGAATTTAGGTATCATCCTACAATGTTTCATTAATCAATTAATCAATCAACCACGCCCTTTAGCTTCTGCAAGTATACGCGTGGATGCCTTGAACTGGTAGATGTGTTCTCCCGCTTTTGTCTGGTTTCACGTCTATTAAGATACTTGAAAAGGCTTAAGTTCAGTTCATAAGTTAGCACTCTGTACATATAGTGGTGAAATTGCTTTGTCGTAAGCATCATGGCCAGAAAATGCACGGATAAGCAGGCACTCCATTTTGCGAGAAAATCGATAGCGTAAGAAACTGGATGCTAGTTAGCGGTTTCACCGGCTAACTTGAGCACTTTGGATGACGACGTTGCATATTTGAAGTTGAGATCAGGATGACCTTTATTCACTTCCTGAATATTTTCATCACACCACGCTTCCTATGGACACCTTCACAAAGCATACGACTGGACACAGTTTGCGAAGTCCTCGCTTCCCTGGTTGTATGCTTCTCTTACTACGTGAAGACGCCGTAAAGAACAACATTTATTCTCCCTGATTATCCCTGTGCTGCCTCGTCAGACATTGTGTAGCAGCACCATGGGACGCTAGCCGCAAATGAGTAGAACGTTGCCTTGCCCACCCGAATGTTCTGTTTAAACCGCTGTCTCGTTCGTTTCCCTTTTACACTGGCTACCAACCGATTTCAAGATGAAATCGACTAGTAGTGATCATTCCTTTTCTTTATTACAGGTACGCACAATATGCTGAACACCTTCGAGTACGAAACGCTCTCGAAAACGACTTTTTGGCCTATGCTTTAGACGGCTAAGTTGTTCTGAAAACGGGCAAAAAACCTGGGAATCATCTGGGCAGTATTTAATTTCAATATGATCTTCCCAGAAGAAAAAACGTGAAGCATCAATCGAATATGGCGTAAGTACCAAAGGAAGCCAGGAGAACTGCACGTGTCTGCTGATGATAAAAAGAAAACCATATGAGAGTTACATCCCGTTTGCTGGCTACTACAGCCGTTTTTATATATAATATGTGACTCCTGCATGCCATGGTAGTTCGAAAATAAGAGGAGGCACCTTCCTGAAAGCAGCAAATACAACCGAACTCTTCCCTTCCGTGAAAGTAACAACTGCATTAGCTTATACGGGAAAAATATGGAACGATAAGTACAGCCTGCAGGGAATTATTTGTACAGGTCTACAGTCAGTCATGGCTCGTACTTCCAAAAAATCCTGCGCTTCCGTTGCTTTCACAGAATTGGTACCTATGAGTAGTGAAACAGGCCGCTTAACAACGTTGTAATGGAGCGGTCATTTCCTCAGATGCTGATCTGACTTTCACGCAGGGTAGGTTTTCATAGAAGTAACATCTACCCACAATTAAAATGAAGCTAGTTGTCGGGCCCAAGTTTTCAAGATTCGTTCCTAGCACTTTGCATATGGTCGTTCTCGGGGAAAGCTAAGACGGAGTTCGCTGAGCTTCTTCACTCTTCCCAGCTAAACTGTCCTGGCCTCCATAAATAGCATTGAATAAACGCCTTTTTCCAGTATGCTGTTGAAGAGGGTGCGTAAACAATCCAAGCAAGAAAGCTTTAGCCTGCCAAAGGTCTTACTGTTTTGTAGCGATGCGTTGAGATTTCGTTGTCGAGCTTAGGGCTGTTTAGAATGGGTGGCACACGGATTATGAGGTGTAGGGGTGTCCAGCAGTGGGTTCACGTGATGGTCGCAGTGGTCGCTCACTTGCTTGCAGGTGAGACTACGCCTAGCGTCCATTTGCTTGCACCCAACTCTCACCTGTGGCTCAATGAAGCTGGGCTCTGCTCAGCGGCCACACCCCGGCCAACCGTCTCGACCGGCGGGCTAAACCAGGTGAGGGCGCTGTGCGCTTGTGCCGCGTGCACAGTGTACTGCGGACTCCGCTGGATGGATGGTCGGATGAAAAACTGCGCCGGCATCGTCGAGACGAGGCTCTGCCTGGTACGCCGTTGGACAACTGCTGCCGGGACGGGTCTCCGCATCGCCTTCGCTGAGACGCGCCCACCCTCGCCGACGGAGACCGCGGACTCACGGCATATGCGGTCGTTCTCCACTACAAACATAAAAGTCGTGGCCCCATAGTGGGATTCGGTCGCGCCAACCAGGCACATGGGCAGCCCGATTCAGGGGCGCACTGCCTGCCCCCACGAGGGGAAGGGCCTAGAAAAGGTGGCCTAAAAAAATGCTGGGTACCACGCCGTCTTCAGGCTAGCCAGGGCCGCAGACGTCTAATCATGGTCGAAACACTCAAAATCGAAACAACAACAATACCAATAACAACAACAACCACACTCATTCTCCTCATCCTACCTCTTCTACCTCTTCCTCTGCCTATTCTTCTGCCTATTCCTCGTCATCTTCTTCTCCACCTCCTTCCCGTCGCCCCACTCGTTGTCCCCAGACTGGCAGGGTGAGCCCGCTCACTCTGGCAGCCTGGAATGTTCGTTCCCTTTTAGACAATCCGAGGAGCAACCGACCGGAGCGGAGGACGGCTCTAGTGGCACGAGAACTCGCCCGCTACAAGGTGGACATCGCCGCACTCAGCGAGACCCGATTCTCCGAACAAGGCCAACTGGAGGAGGTGGGTGCCGGCTACACCTTCTTCTGGAGCGGTCGACCCAGGGCAGAGCGACGGGACGCGGACGTCGCCTTCGCCATCCGGAACGACATCGTGGGACGACTGCGCAGTCTGCCGCAAGGCATCAACGATCGCCTGATGAGCCTCCGCCTGCCTCTCTGGGGAGGAAAATTCGCCACCATCATCAGCGCCTACGCTCCGACGATGACCAACCCCGACGCCGTCAGAGACAAATTCTACGAGGACCTGCACGCCCTCATGGCGACTGTGCCGAAGGCGGACAAGTTGATTGTCCTTGGCGACTTCAACGCCCGCGTCGGCACAGACCATACTGCCTGGAGAGGAGTGCTAGGTCCCCACAGTCTCCGCGGCTCAAACGACAATGGTCTGCTGCTACTCCGCACCTGCGCAGAACACCGCCTCATCCTGACGAATACCTTCTTCTGTCTGCCGGAGCGAGAGAAGGCCACCAGGAGGCATCCTCGGTCGCGCCAGTGGCACCTGCTGGACTATGTCCTCGTCCGGAGGCGAGATCAGCGGGACGTGCTGGTGACGAAGGCGATTGCGGATGCTGACGGGTGGACCGACCATCGCCTCGTCATATCGAAGATGCGTATTCGCCTACAGCCTCGCAGGAGACCACAAGGTAAGCTGAATGTTGCCTTGTTGTCTTTGCCCGCTCACCGTCTTCATTTCAGCAATGAGCTAGCTCAAAGGCTAGACAACCTTCCTATCTCTGCCGACGCCGCCGCTGTCGAGAACGCCTCCGTGGAGAACCGCTGGCGTCAACTGCGAAACACGGTCCAGTCGACGGCACTCGCCGTCCTCGGTCGCGCTCCCCGCCAACATCAGGACTGGTTCGACGACAACGACGCCGCCATCACAAATCTGCTTGCTGAGAAGAACCGCCTACACAAAGCCTACGTAGATCACCCCACTGATACCACCAAAGCTGCCTTCTACCGCAATCGCCGCCAACTTCAGCAATGACTGCGCGAGATGCAGGACGCCTGGACTGCTCGCAAAGCTGAGGAGATCCAAGGCTACACGGACCGCAACGAATAGAAGAACTTCTTCTCAGCGATCAAAGCTGTCTACGGTCCGGCGACGAAGGGCACTGCTCCTCTCCTCAGTGCCGACGGTAGCACTCTCCTGACTGAGAAGACACAAATTCTACAGCGATGGGTCGAGCATTTCCGAGGCGTCCTCAACCGCCCTTCCGCCATCTCTGACGCCGCCATCGAGCGCTTGCCGCAAGTGGAGACCAACGCGGACCTCGACCTCCTGCCATCTCTCCAGGAGACCATCAGGGCCGTGCAGCAGCTCTCCAGCGGGAAAGCACCCGGATCGGACGCAATCCCTGCTGAGGTCTACAAGCACGGCGGTCCCCAACTGATGGATCACCTGACTGCGCTCTTCCAGGAGATGTGGCGTCAAGGCGAAGTCCCGCAAGATTTCAAGGACTCAAACATCGTGCATCTCTACAAGCGCAAAGGGAATCGCCAAGCCTGCGACAATCACCGCGGCATCTCCCTGCTGAACATCGCCGGGAAGATCTTCGCACGAATCCTTCTCAACCGTCTCAATAACCATCTCGAACAGGGCCTTCTGCCTGAAAGCCAATGCGGCTTCTGTCGTCATCGTGGGACCACGGATATGATCTTCGCCGCCGCCAACTTCAGAAGAAGTGCCAAAAGATGCGGACCCACCTGTACTCTACCTTCGTGGACCTGACGAAAGCCTTCGACACGGTGAATCGTGAAGGACTGTGGAAGATGACACAGAAATTCGGCTGTCCGGAGCGATTCACTCAGATGGTGCGTCAGCTGCACGACGGTATGATGGCGCAAGTCACAGACAACGGAGCTGTCTCAGAGGCATTCGCAGTGACCAATGGAGTGAAGCAGGGCTGCGTACTGGCGCCTACCCTCTTCAGTCTTATGTTCTCTGCCATGCTGATGGACGCCTACCGCGACGAAAGTCCCGGGATCCGCATCGCCTACAGGACGGACGGTCACCTCCTGAATCAACGGCGGATGCATTTCCAATCGCGCGTATCCACAACCACCGTTCACGAACTCCTCTTCGCCGACGACTGCGCCCTGAACACGACCTCGGAAGAGGAGATGCAACGGAGCATGAACCTGTTCTCCGCCGCCTGCGAGAACTTCGGTCTGGGCATTAACACGCAGAAGACGGTGGTGATGCACCAACCGCCATCCAACTCAGCCACAGCCTCCAACGCGCCGCCGCAAAGCAGCGTGAACGGAACCCAACTGCAAGTGGTGGAGAACTTCCCGTACCTGGGCAGTACTCTCTCCCTCAACACCAAGATCGACGACGAAGTCGCCAACAGGATCTCGAAAGCCAGTCAAGCCTTCGGTCGCCTCCAAAGCACAGTTTGGAATCGTCACGGTCTTCAGCTGAGCACGAAGCTGAAGATGTACAAGGCCGTCATCTTGCCGACACTACTGTATGGAGCGGAGACTTGGACGATGTACGCAAAGCAGGCGCGTCGTCTGAACCACTTCCACCTCAGTTGTCTTCGTCGCATCCTGAGGCTAAAGTGGCAGGATCGAATCCCCGACACTGATGTGCTGGAACGGACGGGAATCCTCAGCATCTACGCCATACTGAGGCAAATT